CAGATTCACCATGCATCAACATTTCAATTATTTCCCGCGCCGATCTAGGAGATAACTTCCCGCCCCGACAGAAAATTTCAACCTGGTTAAAATTGAACTGGTGACCGAGCTCTCTTTGATGATTTTTGAGAGCTGTTAACTCTCCGCCGTCATTCATATCGCCTGTGTCACACTATCAAAATACTCCATCAAAATGCTGAGGTCAAGTGCTGTGATTGGTCGAAGTCGTCGAATACGCCAATCACAACACCTGACTTCGATATTTTGATGGCTAGTTTTGATAGTGTGACACAGGCATATGTTGCGCCACACGACTGCGCAAAAGTTGTTTAGTTTGCCCAATAAAGGACACATCGCAATTGGAGCAAGGAATCTTATACAACCAACCCCGACTCTTGTATAACCGGGGTTTTAGCTTTTAAGCGGGACATCAGGAACTCAAGAGTGTTTAGTTGGTATACTTACGAATGACATCAAGCTATATCGAATTATAACCATCAGGTCTAGTCACACCGTTAATCAAATCAAATAATTCAAATAGCCGCATGGGAAGTCTAGTTTTTAGAAATCTAGAAATCTCGGACCAGCACTTTGATGAATGGGCTTGCGCTGAAACAGGGATGGGGGGGGGGAGGCGTCTAGTGTCCCTCTACTAAGAAACCTACTAAACACCGTCTAGAAAATTAAAATATTTTGCGAAGTTATAAGAAGTTCGAGATTACAGCTGTATGGTCGTTTGTGTTCCACGTTTTGATAAGTCGCTCAAAGTGGACCTCATCGTCCTCTAACAACGGCAAGTAAAGAAAAACGATGGCGACTACTGGTGACACAACACCGTCAGACTCTTCCTTAAAAGAATTCTATCAAATGATTATGAAATATCCTAATTACATGTTTGAACATTAGATAAAAACATATTTTAGGATTATTTTTGTCTCACAATGACGCGCTGCTCTAAGAAAGCTGTTAATTTTATTATTCCAGATACTGCAGAGTATAAATCTGGCTTCGTTTTCTGTGACGGTGTTAAAATAAACTTATGAGGGTTGAGCTAACTCAAGTTTTCAAAATATTCCGAAGGAGGACTCTTGGCCTTCTCTAGGAGCTCAAAAAGTTCTTTGGCATTGAGAAGTCTCTCTAGATCTCTCTGCCGAGGTGACTTGCCATGTCCTCCGCATACATAACCCCTGATAAGGAGACCTTTTGCCCTCCTCTCTCCTAGAAGTCGTTAATTTTGCCTATATGTGATGGAACTGTTCTCTTGTAACGCGAGAACCTAGTACCTATTTTCTTTAAAAAAAAAGTCCAACGCATCGCGTTCAAAACGTCGACCAATCACGATTAGAGGTAGCTGGCTGATACTTGAATTGGGAAGCAAAGGTGTGAAACAATAAATTGCCGTATTTCAGCGCAGTGCAAAGCCGCTAAAATATTTCGGCAGTCTCCAAAGCAGATGGAAATCTATTCGCATGGCGATGAGCATAGCCGGGGGGCTTTGGCCTTCTCACCTGGATGCAAACTCCCTTTTTCTCCATTCGGGGTTGCTGTCGCCGCGAACAATACAAGGGTGAATATTTTTCCCAACTCCTCGTTCCCGAGCTGACAACAGAGTGCGGCGACTCCTCTCAAAGCCATTGTTTTCGACTGCACTCTGTGTACGAAGTTCGTATTGTGGCACGGTGATGAGCTCTCCGGTATTGTTGCCACGCCGCTGATTAAATCGCATTTCAAAGAGGGGAAACGGGTTTGTTTTTCGGTGAAACCCGGCATCGGTGGTGGAGCTTAGTTATGAGTCGGCCGCGAAACGTTGACACCGAGTACCTCCAGCAGGCGACGAACAAAGCACCGGAAATTTGTTTTTCAAATTCGGTCCTTATGTCCTCGGGAAGTATGCTTCAATGTTTTGGCGCTTGAAATGATCCCCAAATCCCCCGTTCCCCGGGGAGTTGGAAGTGTCCAAGGCTTCGTCTCATTGTCCTCGGGTGCGCCGAGAGGGATAGAGGTGGGACCNGGGGGGGGGGGGGGGGAGGTTAAAACGCAAGGCGCTGCGGTGTCGAGTGTTTACGGCTGACGGCGGTTTCTTTCCGCGGTTTCGTTGGCTGAAGTTCCGGGCTTTTAAACTGCGAGTTCGGACGCGGCACAAATCATAAGTCAGATAACTTGTAGTCACGTCCCTGCTCTAAGTTTACAACGAGCCGGTAGTCACAAAGAGGGCATGATCTATGGAGTGTGCAAATGTACGTACTAAGTACAAAAAGAGGATAACCAGCTTGAACCCAATCGTCTCGCTGCTGAGCGAATTACTTTGACCGAAAATTCTGTTCAGATCGTGCATATTAATTGATAATATTGATGTACAATCGAACGATTTATGATTGAGTGGAATCGTTGTTCTTGTATTTTTTCAACGCTAAAACACAAATAGGTCAGTAGCGCCGGTCACAAAATCGTGTTTTGATGCTTCATTCTTGTAGCTGAGCCAAAAACAATAAGATCTGTCCGAACTGCACCTTTCTACAATCAATATTAACCGAGATATCGCCCTTTGAAAATTTAGGTTTTTGACGTCATCCATCGCGGTAGTGACACACTTGCTTTCTTCCACCTTGCATTCACCAGTCGGTGTGACGCACATTTGCACTGGTTACTCAACGTAACTCGGATGTAAGGAAGGTGGAAGAAACCAAGGGTATCACTACCGCGGTGGATGACGTTAAAAACTCGATTTTTCAAATGGCGATATCTCAGTTAATATTGAACGTAGAAAGTTGCGGTTTGGACGGATCTTATTATTTTCAACTTGTCTTTGAGAATCAAGTATCAAAACACGATTCTGTGACCAGCGCAATTGCCAGCCATTGCCAGAGCAATTTTTGGTGCGTATTCGAAAAAGATCGAATCCGTTCAAGTCTTATAAAGAATGAGAAAAAAGTAAACACTGTAAATGTAGTAGACAATCACGGAGGGGTATACCCTATAGACGCTCGCTTCTTTGAGAGCAAGACGACGATGAAATTATGAAAAGCACCCTTGTGTAGAAAAAAATACGAGGTAAAAATTCAGCGGTGAATTCACTGAAACGCACAAAGTAGCAGGGAAATTGAGAGGGTCCGGAGCACCTAGTGTCAGCCAATATTTGAGGTTGCCGCAACCAACATTCATTAATGAGCTATCGCATCAAGTGCGTGTGTTGTAACATCGATGAAAACCCCGCAGGCGGGAACAACAAATTTCCGCTTCGAAGTTCGCTCAATGACGCTTAGAGATTCGCTGCCAGATGTACAGCAGGCACTTTCAGACGTCGATCGCTACGCTGCGTACGAGAAGAAAATCGCTGTTTTCCTGGCACGTTGTGGCAGGTTAAATCGTGGACCAACGCTGTCATGTTATCGAACAGAGTCGTAATAACTTTAAAAAATTAACTTTTGAAAAAATATATTAAAAGCTGTTTGAGCGGACAATGGGCTACTAGATAAGGTCGACCAGAAAAATTTCCACTAAGAAAATGTCACGCGCTTTCTCTTCTAAATCTTGTGTAGAAAACAAAACACAACGGTAAGTTTAGGGATCAACTCCTTAACGAGCTATTGATGAACATTTTTACGCAAATCAAATACAAATGACGTCGTTTCTAATTTCGTCATTTAATTAATGTCAATTGTAAACTTACTTATCTTGTTCAGAAGTTTGATTTCTATATTACCCGTTGTGTTATTCGTGTCTCTCGTTTATTTCTATAGAGATTATACGATATGAAGTGCTTTAATGTAAACCTAAAGCATAGGCCCATTATACCAGACTAAGCCGACTTTGGACTTGTAAGGGTCAATGTTACTAAAATTTTTCCATAATTTTTCATTTCTGTAGCCATTTGTAGATTTTGGTGGGAGGATGTAGTTTCTTCCATCCTGCAGCACACAAAAGCTTGGAAAATGTCAGGACTTACGAACCAACCATCTCCATAAGAGCATCAATTTGTGTTTAAAAAAATACGATATCTAACGCTCGACTTCTAGATTAGACAGCCTTGTATGGTTGAAAGTCTATCAACTTCCACACTATCTACAGCGCAAGAGAATATCGTAAAAGCAATCAACAATCAAAGCTAATACAAGTATAGAGATAATTTACAGTTTTGTAATGAGTTTTGACTATGGGAATTGATAATAAAAGCAAAAAATCGATTCAATGTTCAACTTTCAGAGGTAAAACCACCGTGATGGAAACATGTCAAAAATATTTCACTATCTCGAAAGACAGAACATAATTCGCATAATGAGCCAAGGATGCAGAGTAGTTGGGTTCAAACCTAAGAATGCAACTATTCGTGTTCGAGGGTTGGCCTCGTTGCATAAGCAATGCATTGAAGGCGCCTCGGCTTTTCGCATGCTCGTTTTAACCACGTTGTTGGCGCGATGCATGATCGTAGCGATGTGCACACTCAGTCCTAAGCTGACACAAATTTAAGCAATGTCGACGAGTTAAGGCCTAGATAGACAAGGCGATTAATCGCCGCGAGTGAAAGACGAAGCCAATGGAGAGCCTTCATTTCGATATATCGACGTCAATGGATCGAAATCAATGCTCTCCATTGGCTTCCACCATTCACTCGCAGCGATTAATCGCCGTGCGTATCTAGGCCTTTAGGCGAAATGCTTTCGCCAGGCACTCAATATTTTCCAACATTGAAGTGTAGTTACGTTTTTGTGTTTGAGAAATGACGTCTCCAGCTTGAAACTCGGCAGATCGAAACTTCTTCCTTCATTTATCAAAACTGAATGCATTCCACTGAAAAATTCGATCAACTCAGGTTGGGTTTGAGATTGTTTGAAGAATTTTTCGCCAAAACGTTTCTTGAACAATTTTCGACACATATTCGAACTAACGTTTCGACTTTTTCACTTAAAGTGAAAGAGTTCATTTGGCTTAAAATGCGGGTCTGGGTGCAAAAATTGACTTAAATTATACTGACGTTTCTTCTTCATTTTGATTTGTTGCAGGACTCTAAAATGTCAAAAGCTGATTTACTGATCAACAAAGTAACCGGCATGAAACCCGTCTTCGGCCGACGTTACAAGGAGACAAAAGAGTAGGTTTATGTATTTTGTTTGTCGTCTGTGTATAATGTGTATCCACGCATGGATGCAGTTGTGAGGTTCAACAGTCTTATGCATTTCCTGTTTTGTTTTTTTTTTTTATTGTGTAATACGTGCCGTGAATAACCTTTTGAGATTTTTAACATTCCCGATTTTAACGCCGATTCGGACAAAGAAGAAAAATCGCTGAAATTACAAAAAATGACGATCAATAGCTTTGCATGCAAAAAATACGTCATGATAGGAAGTCTGCAACGCCGTAAACCGAAATACGCATTTTTCCAGTTCCACCATCGATATATCAGAATGCTTAAATTGGTATACCTCGTCTAGTGGTCCACCGGCAATGAATAGAAAGTTGGGATCTTCAATGCGCTTATCGAGATTCCCCTTTACGCGGTCCGAGAGTATCGGGAAATTTGGGGAGGGGGGTGGACGGGGATCGGAGCGGCTTAAAGCGATGCTCGGAATGGAAACGTCACGCATGCTGCGACCACGACCCTAAACTTCAGTGAGCGCTGCGGTCACTTCCAGCCCCGAATGTCGAGCTACAAAGTGTTGCTCCAAGGTAATTTTGATCCCCTTTAATATCGCGGAAGTCAATTTAAATGGGCATCGACGTAAAAAGCGCGGCCATAATTTTTACGGACAGGTGCGCCGATCGTTCTGTCCTTTGAACCGACCGTATTGAATTACGACGGATTTTTCAACGATCCCTCGTTGCCAAATCGGTGGGGTCTGTTGCACACGACGTCGCCCTTTCAACGTCAGGACGTATCCCTAGTTTCACGTAAGCTCCGAAAAGCGTGTAGTTATACGGAGAGAAGGGTTACCATAGCCAGGAAATACCGGGAAATGTCAGGAAATTTTAAATAGTCAGAGAAAACCTGGAAATGTCAATGAAAATGGCGAAAGTGTCAGAGAAAAACAGATAAGCCACCCTTATTTGCTCTCTTAAATGGGCTCAACGTTTCGAACAACAAATTTTGCCTAAAAACGTCTTTTCAGCATCTGGCATATCTTCAAGTGTCAACGGGCTGATCGTTGAAATTGCTATACAAAGCTATAGGCGAAGGAGACATAGGGAGTACGGAAAGATCCTATTTTTTGAAGTGGTTGGTTCCTATAAATTGGGGGGGTAAATGATGGACTATTTATGGGGTCTCTCGTGGGATGCCGTTAGTTTGTTTTTCTATTACCAACCCTCTTCGTCCATTGCAACCATCCGCTTCCATTTCATCCCTCGTCTTCATTGTCTGTCGCTTTGTCTATCAATTTCAATAATCGTCCGCAGGATTGCCTACGTCTCTCGTTGGGTAAATCAGAGTGCCGGTGACCAAGTAAACCTGCCTGCGGACGGAGTAAACTTGACTATAATACTAGCGTATTTTTTTTGGAAAATACATGAAAAACCGGAGTATGAGCCACGCAAATGGTGCGATAAGAAGTGGATTTTTCACATCTCTGATTCGCTCAACGTGATTTTCTGGCTTTAACCATGGGAATGGTCTTCAGTTGTCTATATCTCCTATGCACCACAGACTCGTCAAATTAAAATAAAATACATTGATTAAAGTACGGAAATTATTATTTTTCTAGTTTTACTAAGCTCTTCCAAATTTTTCTTGTGCAGTTTTGTTGTGAGGCAAAATGTTTCTACGGATCTGGGTATTTCTTTGGAAATTTTAAAACCATCTCGTGCGACACACACACACACCCTCCCCCTCACACACAAAAAAAAAAAACTTTTGGAAATGAAACGGACGACAGCTATCGGGTGCTGAAATAACAGTTCTATCATATCTCTTTAGTTTGTGCGAAAATTTACCGTACGAGATAGCGTGCTTGATGATTATAGTTCCAATTTGGCAAATACGGTTTGAAGCGTCGCCGTAAGCCGCAACGCACGCTCTCTGATCGGATCGAAATAAAGTGGCTCATGATCCGAAGCTCGCCGCGGCCGGGACAAGTTTAAAAGATGCCCCGTGGAGTTCCATCGCGTCCTTTTCTCTTCAAATCCGATTGGGAGGGTTTGACCCGGATGCAAAATTGGACCTCACGTCCCCTCGTCCTGGACAAGCCACGAGCGACCGGAACAGTAAATGGGGTGATCCGGCTGCAATTTAATTCTCATTGATGTGGTTTAACGAACCAAGCAAAGAAGAGGAAAAAACTACGCTTTTTGTTGTTAAGAAAAAAACGAAAACGTGAACCAACATGAGTGTCAAAAAATGCAACTGCTTATTATCAGAACACAGTCAGCGTAAGCTCGATAGTCTCTCAAAATTGACCCTCGTCACAGTTCTCAGAAACAGTATCACTGTATCATGCTACAATTTTGAAAATAGTACTCAAACACGATTCATAATCGAGTGGATTCTAACCTAAGAAGAAAAAAAAGGGTTTTTTGCAATCGTGATCAACTCATTCCCGACTTCCTTTCCTGTGTTCGACCCTATCTTATTCCGTTTACTCCCTGACGTACCCCTGATTCCCCGGTCCATCCCAGTTCACAATCTGTACAATCGGTCAAAATGTAATTATTCTGGTTTGTGACACTAGAAGTGCAGAGGCCTAAACTGCAGAGCCAATCAAAATCGGATTCCTCCTTCCTGTCTTATGTCTCAGTGTACAGGGTGTCCTGCAACATTGGCACCAGGCATTAGCCCTGTACCCTTGGAACGAATTGAGACACAGACTTGCAATTTTGTGAAAGCTTCCAGGCCAAAGTAAAGAACTTTCGGGAGCCCCTAAAATTTCATAGGGATCGCTCTGGAAAGGAACAAGAACTCCAGGAGTTACAGGAGTCTTGCGGGATTGTCGGATCAACCTGTAAAGGGACTTCTCTGAAGCCTCCGTAAAAAATCAGTCCGTATCCCCCAATCTAAGTACTTTAGTCGGATTTGCTGGCACACACTGGACCGTGTCAATAGGAAAAGTCGGACTGAATCTGGAAATTTTGAAAGTTTAAATTTTCGAAAATATGAAGCAAGAAAGTTCAAGAGTGGTTCTATTTGGTTTTTCGTGAAATTCCCCCTCAGAAACACACCTTAAAAATGAATTTGTGACCATCTAAACACCAAAATTTGAAATTTTATCCAAAAAATTCATGTGCGACCTCTATTATGGCTTATTCCTCTGTGCGGCGGTGAATCTAATGTTTCGCCGCTGGTGGCGGCTAGAGTACCTGTATACGGAAGAGTATTGCCATATCAATTTTTTTACTACAGAAAAAGTGTGCCGCACTCTGATTGGTCGGCTATCATGGAGCCCCAAAGGTGCCAAATGTAAACGAACAGGATGGTGACTAAGCTCTATGAAGTTCTAGACGTGATTTATTTGGATGTGATAGAAATTTTTATATGATCAACTTCTGAATTGAGTTCGGATCTACTTTTAATGGATATTTTTGCTGATTAACCCTTGAGTTTGATGATCATTCATGTCTAAGCCGATAATCCATATTCCTCTGGGTCGGGTTTGTTTACATCGGGCGAACTTTGGAGCTTTATGATAGCCTAAACCTGACGAACCAATCAGGGAGCGGCACAGAGATGGCAATACTCTCCCGTATATAGAACCACTCTAGTGGCGGCTGGATGGCGCCCGGTGATCGATAATAATAGGAGAATGGCGATTTGCGCGTGGCTGCTAGACGAGCTGCGAGATTAGCGACCGATTAACTGCTCATGAAAATGCAAATATTAAAACAGACCGCGGCGACCACCTCGAGCTTCACGTCAGCCCGAATCCTCGACAAATACCCCGAGCTCCGCGCGCGACCAAATTGAAAATATCCGGGTCAACAACGGATTGGGAACGTCGCCCGCTCCCTCTTCTCTGACTGGCTCTTGCCAATATTTCTCTCCTCTCTGATTGGCTCTCTAGTGTAGGCAGTCACATAATGGGAAGTTTTCCTTCAATCAGTTGCGCCTGTCAGCACACAGGAAAAAAAACACGTTGGATCGAGAGTCCAGACTCTTAAAAACATCGACGAGAAAAAGTACTCTTGATTCAATCAGAATCTGGCTTAAATCAAGAACCAAGCCTCTTAATTTAAGCGGATTTCGTTTTGATTTAAGTAAAAATCCGATTGAATCAAGAGTATTTTTCTTGTCAATATTTTCAAGAGTCTAGACTCTAGATCCAATGTGTTTTTTTCCCCCAGTGAGGTGCCAACATATCCAAAAGGTTTGGGTGATTTAATCAAAGGTCTTTAATCTAGAGTTTGTGCTCTTTTGTGTTCTACATTCAGCACTTACACAAAATTTTGGATACTTTTTCAGTAAAAATTGTAAAACGGAAAAACTGTGTTACTGTGATTGATGAGCTATATGATTTTTTTTTAAATTTCCCACATCTTAGAAGTGTCTTTTGATCAAAATCCAAAGGATAGTTTTATGAATTTTCCGCCGATTCGAGTGCAGAGTCGATATCGGTATCGAATGCGATATATTCCCTCTAAAAAAAACCACGCCTTCATTATGCTGAATTCGTTTGTCAAAATTGGTAAGTGAATTCTTCAGTCTTTCGACAACAAAATTGAGGTCTCAAAATTCGAGAAAAATGACAAGAAGCTGTAAAAATGGAACTAATCGATGCGATAAATCGCATGTCGTTCGGACACAAACTATAGCGTCCCTCGAATCATCTTAAGAAATCCTGCATTTTATGCTTGGAGTTTGAGAAGGGAGTACAATGTAAACGCCCAGTAATGTGGCTAAAATGAATTTCTCCTTGAATCCTGTGATTTTTCTCTCGTCGGATGAGGGATGAAGCGGAGCAAATCTGAGGCTGGGAGCAACTGGTGCGGGCAGCGGGCAACGTAAAATACGGAGCGAGGAATAAATTCAGCCGAGAGCTAAAGAACGCAACGTAACCGTACTTAATCATCCCATCTCCTTTATTATGAATTCTTCGCATCTGATTTTTTATGCTCACGAGTTCCTTGCATCGCCTCGGCCGGGCCTCCAGCTACCAACTTATTCACACC